TTCAATTGTTTATGTAGTGGTAATTTATTAAACTTCTTAACCCAAATGTATTGTTTTAGTTATCTTTTTTCCACTCTCTAGTGTTATGATTTGAAACTTGGTTTTTGATTTTGCAAATTTATTATAACAATAATTTTTTTTGGCTGCTTTCTACATTGTGTATTTCCAGATAGTATTTGTTTATGTAACTCTTTGACCATTTATAATAGAAAAAAAAACTTTCTAAAATTTCTCAAGATAACTAGGAAAATATCAAAGAGATATATGTAAAAAATATGGGGGAGCGGTTTGGAAGATTGCTACTCTTTCCTTATATATTTTTTGGGATCTCTGAGGTACTTGGTTCTATGCTTCTTGTTTTGTGAAAAATACATAAAAGTACTTACAAGGCATGTTCTCTCCTCAAAAAGGTTTAAATTCATTTATGAGAAATAGAATCTACTTCTATGGAAAAGAGAAATAGGAACATGACAATATGCCAACATGATAAAGCACTGTCAGAGTTCAAAGATACTTAGGATCACAAGCACGCTCATGGAGTTCGGTGGAAGGCCTGGGGAAAGAGACACAGCTCACTTCTGAAACTTAAAGGATAAGGAGAGTTTGAAAGTGAAGAGATGGTGGGAATAGCTAACGAGAAAGAAAACAACCTAACGACTAAGAAAGGAGATGACAAAGTTTAGGGACTATCTAACAAATAATAAATAAATTGGTTAAGAATGGAAGGAATCATGTGTTGGAATAGAAGCTTGACATTTATGTCAGGCATTAGAGGAGAGGATATTAGTGGGAAGTGGGAGATGGGACCTTCCTACGCTGCACTAAAGATTCTGGATTTATTCTCTTGGTAAGGGAGAGCCAGGCAAAGCTTTTCTGCAAGAGAGTGGTCTAATGCAAGCAGGGAGACGCTGAGTCAGTAGGGGATCAATAAGAATAGGAAGATGTTAGGGTCGGGGAAGATGAAGACTTAGCCCCTTTTGATAGTTAGAGCATGAGATAATTCCACCAGGGTGATGGTAATTGTATTATTGAGATCAGGATGAATAAGAAATATTTTAAAGATATAAACGATAAGGTTGTTGATTGACTGAACTTGAGGAACAACGTAAAAGGCAGAGTTGAAGTGGCAGAGGCTATAGCCAGGGACAATGACTACATATCAGTCCTTTTCTGTATCCCAGGGTGAAGACGCCTTTCTTATCCCTTAGTTTTCTCTTTCAACTCCTCCCCACCATTGTGCAAAATCATAGCCCGTCTATGCTTGACATGTCTGCATGTGGAACCCTGTGATTGTCTCTCCAGTCAGAAAATAGGATTAGTCCCTTGATAGTCCTTGATTCATTGTAAGTTCTTACTTTATATATAAGAATGGAAAGAGTGACTTTATTTGTTTTTTGTCATTTGGTGCTAGAGCTGATGGTATTGATTGGCAACGTCACCATGTTCACCTCTTCTTTGGTAGCAATACTTCTAAAAAGAGACTGGAATTATTAATTTATATAAAAAGATAATATTAGGCAAGTTTTTCCAAACTATAACAAAATTTCATGGTGAATATATAAACTCATTTTAATACAATGAGTAAAGGTGATGATTTTAGTTTTGGGTCTGAGTTTCAACTGAAGGCATTCATAAGCCATTAGGAGTTGGGTGAAAAATCTGGAAAAGTAAGTCTGGAAGTTACTGACATGGATAAGGAGTTGTTGATACTCAGCAAGAATATACTTTGGGGAATGCAGGAAATGGATGTAGGCAGGAAAGAACAGAGAATAGAGTGTGAAAGCTAGTTCTGTGGGCTTGGCATCGGGTTGGTTTACTTTCAATTCCCCTTTCATTAGCTTAGAAATATTATCTCTGAAAATGTATTCATTATGGCAAAATTATACTATCAAGGAGATTTAATAATCAGGATTTTTTTTGTAATAGAATTTTACTGTATGAGCAACCTAAGTAAAAATATAGGGTAGCACTGCCACCACATGGCTACTTTTCAATTCTATTTTCTGATATTATTTTCTAAGGCGATGAGATAGTATGTATGACTTCTGTAGATATATTTCAGGTTCAAGAAATCATCTGAACTTGAAAAATCTTCCAGTTTAGTTAGAGATTCTGCATTTTCAATAGAAAAAATTTAAATTGATAAGAAGATGGCACAATGGAACCTGAATATAATGAAGTTCTTCTCATGAAAGTAACATAATGATTTATAATGAAAACTGGCATGCTGAGAACACCGCTATAACTAAACTTCTGTCCTATGGCCCAGAGGGTTGGACTAAAGTTCCAATATTAAGCTGATGTTTAATCAAGTTCTTTTCATTTTCAAGCATTTCCTTGACTCTTCGTCATCCTCTAGTTCCCTCCATATCTCTCTTTTTCTTTGGAACTGAACTTTTTGAAAGAACAATTTATACTTGATTTCTCTATAACACTACTTCCTGTTCACTCAGGACTCCTTGGAAATTCTTTTGACAAAGATCACCAGTGGCCACTTCAACAGGCTTGAATCCAATAGGCTCTTACTTTATTTGAACCTGTTTTTATCTTGCTCTGATTTTTTTTAACATCATTGACCACTGTCTCCTTATTGTGTTTTCTCTGCATGACTTCTGTCCTGCCTCTTTGGTCTCTCTGTTATCTCAGTGTCTGTTCAGATAATTTCTGTCACAGCTGTAATTTCTCCTATGTGCTCCTTGAAACATGATTTTTCTAGTGTTTTTTTTCTTTTTGTTTACAGTTTTCTCTGGATATCTTATCTGTTCCCGTGGCTCCAACTATCGCCTATTTGGTAGTGACTCTGCTCTCTCACTTGAGCTCCAAATGTACATATTCATGTATTCATCTTAGACATCCCATGTGTTTCTTAAGTTCATCATGTCCAAAATTGAATTGCTCACCCTTCTCTTGCCCACAAGCACATCTTTCTTCCCTATTTTAGTGATTTGCACTGTCTAGTTGCCCAAGTAGAACACAAAAGAATAACTTCTGACTGCCCTTTGCTGCCTCGTTCCTCTGGCCACCAGTAGACTCTCTATGGAGTCCCCCCACTTCTTCAATCATCACTGCTTCTGCCTCGGCTTAGCTCCTTATCATTTTGTACCTGAAGTAATTCAGTGACCCCATGTGATCTCCACGACATTAAATTTGTCTTCCACGTTACTGCCTAGAATGACATTTGGAAAATGTGTTCCTGTCTGTAATAAGTTAAAATACTTCATGGTCCTCATAATCTTCATGATAAAGTCCTAATTTTTTAGCATGATATATAGATCTTTATGTCCTCTGATCTTTTATAACCTCTCCAGCCTCTTCTCTCTCTCTCTCTCTCTCTCTCTCTCTCTCTCTCTCTCTCTCTCTCTCTGTCCCTTCTGTGGTAGCCATTCTTAACTGATTAAAGCTGAGGACCTCGAAGTGCCTCACTTGCCTTTGCCTCCAGACCTTCCTGCAGGTACTGCATTCTTCCTCCCTCTTGTACTGGTCTTCAGTCCCTCAGCTAAGGGTTGTCCCAGACTACTCCACTTACCCTCTCAGGGTTTGAATTTTAATGCTCTACCTCTGTGCTCCTGTAGCATTCTGTGCTCACCTGTATACCAATCACTTTTTTAAAATAATTATCTATTCTTTTGCCTCATTGGAATAAGCACTTCTTGGAGCCATGGAGGGACCATGCCTATCTTTGCATCCCTGTGCTTTGAATGTGTCCCCCAAAGTTCATGTGCTGGAAACTTAATCCCCAATGCAACAGGGTTGGGAGGGGGACCGTTAAGACGTGATTAGGTCATGAGGGCTCTGCTCTCATGAATGGATTAATGTCCTTATTGTGGGAGTGCTTTCATTATTGTGAGAGTTTGTTATAAAAGTGAGTTTGGTCACCTCTTGCTCCTCTCTCTCTCTCTCTCTCTCTCTCTCTCGCTCTCTTGCTCTTGCTGTCACTCTCTTCTCTCTTGCCCTCCTACCTTCTGCCATGAGACGACGCAGCATGGGCCCTTGCCAGATGTGGGCCCCTCAGTCGTGGGCTTCCAGTCTCCAGAACTATAAGAAATAAATCTCTGTTCTTTATAAATTACCCAGCCTCAAGTATTCTGTGATAACAGCACGAAACTAAGAGGCATCTGGGCACCTAATTAGAAACAGATAAATGTCTGTTGAATGCGTGAAGGAATGAATGAATGAATAAAAGGTTGAATAATGTTCTCTTTCCTTTGCCTCCTTGTAGCTACTTGGCATCCATTTCCTCTCAACATGAATGGTTTTATTTTATTTTATTTTATATTTTATTATTTTATTTTTTCAGTGTTCTGCCAATGGATTCACGACCCATACTGCCAACAACTCTAGCCAAGGTTTTTGTGGTACTGTGGGATCAGCAACCAGAAATGGAGGGCAGGAGACCATTGAGATGGTGAGAGGAGGGCAGCAGACCCTGGAATCCTGCCGGGGAGCTGGGCACCATCACACCCTGGACTCCTGCCGGGGAGGACACACGGAGATGGACAACTGCAGATACAACTACTCGGAGTGGCACAGTTTCACTCAGCCCCATCTCTGTGAGGTGAGCTTCCTTAGGTGTTTTGATCTAAAGTTTAAATATCCAAGTACAGAACAATAGGAAATTGAGATTAGCGTGTATTTTCAGAAACTGCTTTTCTAGATTTTTTGATGTTCCCTCTCTTGGTTGCTCTGGTCATTTTTCTATGCTCTTTGATTTTGTTACATTATTTAATTTAAAAGAGATTTTATTTCATCTGTCATATTTCACTTAATTTATAAAATCCCATAAAGATTGGAAGTTTCTAATGTCTTTCACTAAAGTTTCATTTTTAGATATGCCTTTACCTCCTAAATATAGAAGAATAGGATATAGAAGAATGTGAAAAAAATTATCACAAACTTTCCAAATCAAATCTGTATTTTTCTGTGAAAACACAAACATCTGTATACAGTTTTAGAAATCCCATATAACATAATAAAATTCTTTTATTTTATTGGAAATTGACATAATAATTGTATATATTTATGGGGTATAAAGCGATGTTATGGTATATGTGTACAATGTAGAATGATTAAGTCAAGCTTATTAACATATTTATCACCTCAAATGCTTATTTTTTGTGATGAAAACATTTGAAATTTATTCTCTTACCAATTTTGAAATGTACAACACACTATTATTAACTATAGTCACCATTATATGAAATATTTTTAATATATAAAGCACCATACAAATATAAGTTGCTTCGATTCAGAGGAAAGCAAGAATGTGAAAGAAAGGAGGAATTAAATAAAGAATTCTCAGCCCACATCAAAATCCCCTGGAAGTTTTTAAAAATACGAATGCCTTGACTCTACCCTGAAAGATTCTAATTTACGTGGTTTGGCTTTTTTTTTTCTTTTTAAAAATTTCTCCAGTGATTCAAATGTGCAGCTAGGTTAGAGAGCCACTGGATTAGATAGTCTTCTGTTTCTAAATTTTCACCTCTTTTATCAGAGCATCCCAGTGCCATTGCAGCACAAACACTGGGCCAGAAGCCCTTAAATGCTTGCATGGACCACAGGTGGTCAATATTCTGTGATAGGGCTGTAGGTTATCATACATCCATAGCATTTTTTTTTTTTTGGTCAAATTCAAATGTTAATCCTTTTTCTATTTTTAAACAGTCAGTGTTCATGTAAGATCAGATTGAGATGGAGAGAAGCTTAAGTCACACTCTTAGGAGTGTCCTTCAGTGTGCACATCAGGTAATGGGAGGGAAAGCTGTCAAGGTCATGAAGAAAGACATTTGATAACTTAAGCTGCACAAATGAGCTCCAGCGTAGCTAGAGAACACCCAGGTGAGGACACCCAGGTGAGGCAAGGGAGGTGGTAGAAGTTTGACAAGTTGGCAGACAGGCCAGGGCAGACAGGGTAGATGGGGGCAAATGCTTGTCCTCTTCATTACAAAAGCCCAGTTTTTGCAGTGTGGGTTATGGTGGTTACTTTAAAGTTCACTAAATTATTTTGTACATCTCAATATTTTGCCATATTTTGGCTATCTTGGAAACTTGATTCCGAAGCTGATGTGGTAATTCTTACCTACTTTATCACTACATATAATAGCAATTTTAATTACCATTTATTGTACATTTAATATGTGCTGGGCATAATAAGCACATTGTATGCATTATTATGTCATCATTAATTTCCAGAATAATCCTGTGAGATGGTCACTGTCTGCATTCCCATTTTAGATTTGAGAAGAGTGAGATTTAAAGATGTTTAATAACTTGCACAAAGTCATATAGCTGGTTGGAAAAGCCAGAGCCTTGACTCAAAACCAGGACCGTTGGACATCCAATCTCGAATTTCTAAACACTATGCCTTTTGTCTCTGTTTTGTAGACTAGCCTGACTTCCTAGACATAAAATTTAGACATAAACATTTAATAATAACTTGAATGTACTTAAAGATAACATTTGTATACATAATTTTTTATTTATATGGATTACTAGAAATGTAAAATATACTGACTTTATGATATGATTATGATAGAGACCAATCATGTGCATTTTTTGTGTGTAGGAATCCATTAGAGGACACACTGGTTAAAAATTAAACATAAAAGGTAAATAAAAAATACATTTTATGTTCATATGCTTAAGTTGTTTAAAACAATAATACAATTCATTTTTTTTTAATTTTACAGAAATTACATCTATGCAATCAGAATGAACACCATGTACCATCTCAAGATTATGTCCTTACATATAACTATGAAGGAAGAGGCTCTTCAGCTGGTTCTGTAGGTTGCTGCAGTGAAAAACAGGAGGAAGATGGCCTTGATTTTTTAAATAATTTGGAACCCAAATTTATGACGTTAGTAGAAGCATGCACCAAGAAATAATATCAGAGTGCTACAATTAAGTCTTTCCCAGACATTCTGGTGGTTTCCCAAAATAATACTGTAAAGTTAAATTACAACATATATATATAATGAATATTTTGTCAACTTTGAATTATGCTACTCACCAATTTATAATTTTAAAGCAATTTGTTGCTTATCTTGTTCAAGAAGTACAAAATGTTAACATAGACAGTTAGTCTCATACTGCAGCATTGGAATTAAGGTCTATAAAGGATCTGCTGTTCTTTACAGATATTTCCGAATAAATACGTTGGGTAAATACTAGTCGAGCAATAGCTAAGCTATGCTAATATCACATTGTTACATACTCACTTCTAGTGATAGTTTAAAAAATAGACAAGAAATAATAAGTATCACTGTTTGAAGAAAGTTTTGGGAGAGAAATAATTAAGACTAAATTAAACTAAAAATATTGCAGCTCATGAAAAATTGGTATCAACCCTCCCCCTACCCCACACCAAAATTCTTCATTTGACTTTGGAGGCAAAATTTATTGAGCTAGCCCCTGGAGTGGCAATTTTTTGTAGGAATATAGTTTGAAATGAATATGTTTGTGTATAAAATTATTGACTGATGCAACATTTAAAATGAAAAGAAAGAGGAAAATGGTAATAACTGAAAATGAGGCTGGGGTATGGTTTGTCCTAAAGTAGGGATTCAAGGTTTAAAAAAGAGTTTCTTAGGCCTAGTTCTTACATACTGCGTGATAACTGAGCATATCAGGAAATAATTCATGTCTATTCATGTAATTTGTTTAAAATTGTAAACAAATTAAACTTTTCTGGTTTCTGTGGGAAGAAAAGAGGGAACCATGTAGAACAGTAGATTTGCTTTGCAGTCTTTTCAAGGATTTATTTTAGTGCCCACGTGTTAGTAGCAAACTCGAAATACCTACCACAGATAGGGTTCTCTGCTTTCTGGTTGCAAGATTCCAGAGACGTGGTGTTTTTCTTGGGAGCTAATACCAAAAACTTTTTTAAACCTATTTCTGCTGAAATTATACCTTCTATTACCATTTTCTCGCTCTTTTTTATTGACCAATAATTTTTTAATTTAGAGCCAAATAATCATGTCCTCTCAGAGAGTTAGAGGGAGCTGGGGGGCAAATCTTGCTGAAAGTGTCATGTGGGGAGTGATTGTTCTCAGACCCAAGCCTATTGCTTACACAGTGTTCTTTTGTTTGTTTCTTGGGTTTTTTTTTTTTTTTGAGACAGAATCTCACCCTGTCACCCAGGCTGGACTGCAGGGGTGTGATCATAGCTCATTGCAGTCTCAAACTTCTAGGCTCAAGTGATCCTCCTGCTCCAGCCTCCTGAGTAGTTGGGACTACAGGTACATGCTACTGTGCTGGCTATTTTTTTAATTTTCTTTTTAGAGATGGGGTCTTGCTATGTTGTCCAGGTTGGTCTTGAACTCCTGGCCTCAAGCTATCTTCCCCCCTCAGCCTCTTACAGTGCTGGGAATACATGGGAGAGCTACCAAGCCTCACCTGCACCATGCTCTAATCAGGGCCTGGGAACTACAATATTTCATTTTCATCATTGTCCTGTTTTAGAGTGGCATTGGTATCATTCAAGGAAATCCAGGACTCAAGGGCCCCCTTCTTTCAGCTTGCTGCCACCATTGCCATAACACCTTCAGCAGAGATTCCTTTAGGTGGCAAATACTCCAGATTTTCAGTCATCCTTCAGTGTGAATTAATTTTTATCAGTTTGCTTTCTTACAAGAAATTTTAAAATAATAGAAGAAATAGACATTTTAATGCAGCAAAGAAAAAGATTCAGTTTCCATTTTGGAACACAGGGAACTCTGGGACAAGGCAGCCCAAGTGGGGTATTTGAGCAGCCAGAGAGCAACATGAAGACCCAGGCCTTCCACTGGCAGGGACAGAGGCCAAGAAGGGATATGATAATTTTCCTGAGGCCTGGTCCTGCCTTTTGCTTCTTTTCTAAGGCCAGTGGCAGCTGCCATTTGATTTCAGGGAAATATCAGCCAGCCCCTTCTCCATGCCTCACCTTATGTGGAGTGAGGAATCCAGGAGATGAGAGCTGATCCCATGATGGCCCAAAGGCATGTGCAGGGCGGGCCTGAACTGGGTGTGCAGAACAAACCAGGCGTTCGTGGGAAAGGCTGTATTCCTTCCCTAGCCCTCTGGGCACTAAGAAGGTCTTCAATTAAATGTGTATCTAAAATTCTGATTTGATTGTACATTGCCTGTTCTCTAATTTGCCCCTAAAATCTAGGTTTTTTTTAGACTTAGACTTTTAAAAGGGTAATTTTCCTTTTTAAGTCTTCTTAGTTTAATGGAATCATTTTTAACGTGTGAAAGTTTGGTCATATGAATTGGGTCAATCTTGTCATATCCAACTAAAACAGAGTGGAGCCAGGGAGAAAAAGAACTCAGGGCACCTAACATCGCTCCAAGAATGTTAAGTCTCTGCGAGCTTCATTGCTGAACTTGCCTGCTGTAGCCTGAAACCAGTTTTATTTAATGGCTGCTGAAACAACCTGCGTGGTTTGCCTCACCGCCACTCAAAACCTGCCAGCTCCCAAGACCTTAGGAGTGCCCGTGAACTTGCTCAAAGAACAACATGTAACATTTCCTTTTTTGTAAAACCTCTCATCTTCCCTTTGCTCTTCAGACATTCCGAAGACCACTCGGTCTGTGTGTATGCCCCAAATTGCAATTCTTTCCTGTCTAATAAAAGTTTTATAAATTTCAGAGATTTGTCTGTTTTATTTGACTTTGAATCATGTAGTATTATTCTTTCCTTATATGTGTAAGGTGAAAATTATGCTATTTTAGTGTGTGAGAAAATAGCTTTTTAAAACTTTCATTTTTTCCCCCAGTGAATGATCTTCAATTTTTTTAATGTAAATTTACAGATTTTTTTTTCTTATTTTCATAAGGAAGCAGTTAACTGTCTAAATGTAGTGGGATTTGTTTTGCAATGTCTTAAACAGAGTTTTAGTTTTGCTATTAAAAGAAGTTACTTTGCTTGTAAAGAAACGTGGCAGGTTAAAACACGTAAAAATTGGATGTATAAAGTAATATTTACAGATATAGGATGTAATAAAACAATGTTAACTTGGTTTCTTGTCTTTGCTGTATTTAGAGATTAAATGATTCCAAGGTGATCATGTTGCAAAATTGTGCTTAAGGCTGGTGTGAAAATAGAAGTCCTCAATAAGGTCTTTGTTGTATTAGTGGTGAATATTTTAGAGAATATCTGAAATGACTTGTTCAGACTTTTCTCAGAAACAATATAAGTATCAGTCTTCCATCAAATTCAAAATGAGTATTTTCTTTCATAAAAATCAAATGAGATAAAGCAAAAATAGATCTGATAATAAGTATAACAATATGTTCTAATATGTTATTTGTAGGAACATCATATATTCTTGCCCAAAATTTAGAGATATAAAAATTGGCTAATGTAAATGACCACCAAGAAAACTGACAATCCGGAAGCTTTAGTTGGTAAAATTTTATATAAACAGCCCATTGATCAAATGAATCAATTTTGCATTGCAAAATATAAACAAAAATATTTATTCTTATTAAAACTATTTTAATGAAATAATAAAAAGAAAAAATAGGAATTTAACTTTGCTGTGCAAGAATTTGAAAATCCAAATGGCTTAATTTTATTTGAGCTGGAAAATATTTTCTAGACAGAAATTTATCAATTTGGGCATAATTCTGATTATATTATCCATACTCAAAAGCATAAAATCTTCTAAAAAGTTGACGCTTGAGTTGAAAACTTGCTTTAACCTCTCTGCTGTTCAGATCGAAACTACCCAGATGGATCCTTTTTTTTGTCTACCTGCCCTATACACTAGTCAGCGTGCTGTCTGAAATAGAAATGGTTCCGGAGGGTAGTCTGCCAAAAACACACGCTGTGTTGCTATGCCAGAACGCTTTCTGTGTAACGCCATTAAACAATCCTTAGGGAGTCTTTGTCTAGACTTTTTATATTCATGACAGAGAGGGGCCTGCACTAAAATACTATCCCCTGCTTGAAAATAAATACACCAAAAAAGTAGCAGTATCATATCTATTTAAAAATGATCATATTTGCCATTATACAAGATGCTGTTTCTCCCAGACTGTCCTTATTGAGTTTCAAGAGGATCCTCTGCCTCTGTCTGCTGGCTGCCCCATGTTATGCTTTTGGGGGGACAGAGAAGCCACAAGATTTAGTATGGACTATGGGGGAGAGCTGGGAGGGTGAGGAAGAAATTAATTTTCCCCCCAAAGCATAAGCTTGTAATACCTCCACACAAAAAATCTATAGCATGCTCTTTTTTTCTGATAGTTTAATTTGTTCTTACTCCCCAACTTCCATTCCATTTAAGCAACTATGCCCTTCTGTGTTTATTAGATACTTGTAAGTATACCATAGCATTAACATAGACATCCTAGGTCTGATGCTCCCAGGTGAGCATGACCACAGTGAGAGCTGTCTCAGGGACCACTTGTGTAAGTCAATGATCAGACTCCAGATGTTCTCCTTACCCAGACCCCTCCTTACCCCATAGGAATAGGTGACATTTACATTCAACCACAGAAAGCTTAGGGTGAAGACAAAATCACACGGGAATAACGGAGATTTATCTTCTACCATTTAGGCTCAATAAGGACTTGAAATAGAGATTGATTAATAGAAAAATAAAAGGAACTATGTTTCTGGAACATATGAAAAGGTTCTTACCTACTATTCAAACAAAGAAGCAATTGGAAATTAATGAACCAGAGGTAGTAAGAAACATTTCCCTTCAAGAAAAACTGGTTTACATTTTTTGTTTCGTTTCGTTTTGTTTTAGTTAGGTTAGTTCCACGTGAGTTCCCAAGGTGGGAGAGCCGTGGTTCTGCCTTTGCCTCTGGCTCCCACCACCGGTGGCTCCTTTTCAAGTATCTACAAGAGAGTGCGGGACACACCCTTCAGTGACTCACACCTTTCTTGTGCTTAAGAGCAAACAGGAACAGACACCTGGGACTGAACAAACATCGTTGACAGTGCCAGGAAGCATGTCGTGATTACACAT